ATCATCAATTTCAAGAAATAAAAATGCAACAACTGTTGTTATAATATCCTTATAAGTATTATAATTGATATTTTTAATTTATAATATATAAACACATATGATCTGCGCTATATTTATAGTACATATTTTTTCTTTTTTTAAAAACATTTTTTTATATTTTCATGAATTGCTCGTATTAACATTTATGAATATAATCATTATACCTACCTACCTATATGCAGTTAGTTCAGGCAATAATTGTTTATTAATAATTAATCAATAATCAATACACAGTTTGGGTAATAAAAACAATTTGATTTATTTGTTTAGGGAAGGCAATGATCCGGAAGATTATAGCAAAATCACATACAAAAAGCTTTTAGAAGAAGTATGCCGGTTTTCGAACGTATTAAAATCCAAAGGCATAGTTAAAGGTGATCGTGTCGCAATTTATATGCCAATGATTTTTGAGATCGTGATTGCTATATTATCGTGTGCAAGAATTGGCGCAGTTCACTCCATTGTTGTAAGTTCTTAACAAATATTATTGTCTAATCTGACTATCATGGTTGGCCGACAGAAGTATATTAATATATAGGTACCTACGTATTAGGATAGTACCTATATGGCTATATGGCTATATCTGTTTATACAAATACCTAGGTAATTTATCTTAATGGATATGCAATGGCATATACTTTAGGACGTTTCAGTGTTATGTAAATAGGCTATTGGTAAGTATATAAATATACCTAATAATATAATATACATATTATGTATAGTCGTATAGACTATAAATTATGATAGATATATAGGTTCAATGTTCATTGTATAAATTGCCTATTGAATAGACCAACCATTAAATCGATTAAATTACCTACTTAAAGATGGATTCTATATCAAAATATTCATGTGGATGGTTCGTGAACGTTTTTAACGTTGGATAATTTGATATGATGATATTTAGTATTAGATACCTACCTAGTTGGTCAGAAWTCAGCTGATGAAACCTATAATGAACTCATGAATTCATGACTAAATAATATATAAGGTAATAGACTGTGACAGAAGAATAAAGAATTTCACCATTTTAATTTCGGTCACGAAACACGACATCTCAGTGCAATAGGTAGTGTAAAGTTTAAACAAATCAGACAGATTATATTTAAAAAAACAAATAGGTAGCATTGCCTTGTGTTATGTAAAACTTATTCACGTAGGTACCTACACGAGAATACAAYATTCAATCTGAAAACATATTGATAATTATTAATTATTTTATCACATATCAAAATAATTACATTTAAGCCTTTATTAGTAAATTATTTCAAAAATCCAATTTATTAGACCTATTAGATATTCAAATAAATGCATGATTTTCCTTAAAAAAAATAGGTTAGGTATTGTTTTTGGAAACAATTATACACAACGTTGTGATAATTAATGAATAAATAATAATGACGCTACCTAGTTTTAATTTTCTAAGACACGCAGTATTAATTTATTTAGTTTTAATAGTATATAAACTATAATCATTATCATCTACTCTATATTTTAATTCATATAAACTTATATTTTTGGTTACTATAGTTTGCAGGCTTTTCATCGGATTCGCTAGCAGAACGTATGGCCGACTGTAAGTGTAAAGTCCTCGTGACAGCTGATAGCGTATACAGAGGAGACAAATTACTAAACATTAAAAGCCTATGTGATATTGGTAATAAATTAATAGATACCAACGTKTATATTGATTAAATTGCAATACAAATAAAAAATATATTTATATTTTCACATTCTAGCAATGGAAAAAGCCAAGCATTTTGGCCACGAAGTTTCAACTTGTATTGTAGTTCGTCACTTGCCACGTCTTTACARATCGATGAACACATCTAATGGTACAAATGGGTCTAACTCCGACATCATAGATTTACATTCAGATGTACTTATACTCAATATTATATTAATTAATGATAATATAAAGTTATCGGTAATATGCGCA